AGAAGCCCTTTTTTATAGAGGAGAAAATGAAGGCACAGCCAAGTTAGAATTTGAGTTATACCCAGGACAGCATGTCCTCAGAAGCTGTGTTTGTAAACATATTATTCTGAATCTCATCTACTTGCATGTATAGCTTTGAGATAAGTCCTCCAATAGAAGAAGGGGGTTAAAGGTATAGACAAAGAGGAGATTGATTCCACCTAAGGACATCAAACAGAGACTTCTGACATTTGGACTTAGTCTTTTAAAGGTGACTCAAGGCTTTCCAGGGAGAAAAGAAGGTGATGGGCATCTTGGCCAGAAGAAAAATATTGCAGAGAAAACTACAGACAGACCTCCTGTAGAGGTGGAATTCCTACTGGTATGTACTACACAGAGGAAAGTGTCAGGGGTGACCGGGAGGCGAGGTTTGGGACAATGCATGAAGGGCTTTGTATGTTAGCTTTGTTACCAAGCAAAGGATTTGAACTTAGTGTCACGGGAAGAAGAAACTAATAAGTTCTGTAAGCAGAATTAATTATTAAGACTCATCTCTCAGAAGTCTCCCTCTGGACCAAGCTGGGAAGTAATAGGAGGAAGAGTAATTGCAGGCAGGGAGCTAGAGGTGATGAAGGCCAAGTTGGACAGTCATTTTATGGATTCTAAGAATGGGTGAGGGCAGGGACATTTGAATGGTGGCTGTGGGCTGGAGAGGAGACAGAGGGAGAGGAAGAAATCCCCATTATTCCATGGCCATTCAGGTCGGATGATGCCTTTGCCTGAAGTTGGGGACCAGAACAAGGGCCACGTGTGAGAGGGATCTATCACTCATAGCTCCAATAGCAATGGTAACAACAGTGATTATTTCTTTTTTTTTTTTTTTTAAGATTTATTTATTTATACAAGCACTGGGTATAGCCAGAAGTGTGGGAGGGTGAGAGAACTCACCAGAGCCAGAGCGGGGAACAGAACAGGCAGAATGACGAAGTACACTGCTGAGGGGAGCAGCGGGCGGCAGGAGAGGTCTGCGCACCATGTGGGACCCTTGCCTGGTGGCTGGGGATCGAACCGGCGCTGCAGAGGCTGTGGGCAGCCTCGCAGCCCAGCGCTCAACCACTGCGCCACTGGGGAGGCCCAACAACAGTGATTATTTCTTGAGTGCTTACTAAGTAGCAGGTACAGTGCTAAGTTTAGTACTTTATAAGGACTATCTCATGTTTTCTACTAAAACAAGATAGACACTAATTTTACTCAACTATGGTAGCACATGGAAATTGAGGCACAAAGTTTCATTCCCTTGCTTGTATTCACTCTGCTCACAAACACCAAAGCCAAGACTCCATCCCAGGTGTTTAAATCCAGAGCCCGTGCCTTAAGAACTGTTACCAGGTACTATTTTATCTTAGTTTGAACAAGAATCCCCTCAGAGGAAAAGGGTAGTGGTGTAACTCTTTGTGGGAATGGTAGGCAGTCTTAAGCCTCAAAGAGCCAAGGAGGAATCTAGTTGCATCATGTGTATTTAGAATGAAAGAGGATGATGCTGTTTGCAAGGGCAGATTCAGTGCACCCAGTTCTTAGGAGATAGTGGTCTTTCCCTCCCCTCCCACACCAATGGTGAAGACGCATTTGCTCTAAACCATTAACCCTCCCTGGCTAGGTTGCCCTGGTGACCAATGGCATTTGCAAGGCAGCTGGCTAAGGTCATGGGTCAGGCTCTAGCTATAGAAAACACACCCTGAGCCTTTGTCTCTTCAATAACCAAGCTGGTCTCACCAACTGAGAGGGCTAATTGGCCCTGTCCCTTTGAAATGAGGACCCAGCATAGCTGGGAGTTAATAAAATGTATCTAGAAGTCAGAGACTCACATCAAAATTACCAGGGAGGAGTTGGGGACATAAAGATTTCTGAGTCCCCATCCAAGCCCTCTTTAAGGAGAGCCCAGAAATCTGTGCATTTTCCTTCTGTTTCCCAGGTTATTTTGATACATGGGTAGGTTTCGGAACCACTGAAAATAGTCTTGTCTCCTTGTGCCTCTGAGGATAAGCAAATAGAATAGGGGTTCCAGATGTTGAATTGGGGACACATGGAAGTAAATAGTGTGCCTAACATCTCAAGGCTGTCATTCAGGAGTGCTGGACTGGCAAAGCACACGATGATAGACATGAAGAGTCAAGGTAATACCCCTGCCCTGGTAGGAAGGAAGGAGCACCCCAGCCCCAAATGCCAAGTGCTAAGAGTATAATAACAGAGAGACTTCTAGTGCAGACACACGCCATACCTCCAATCCCTGTGGGACTCCATTTGACCGAGGTGGGTAACCGCAGCTTTCAATGTATCCCCAGGACTCAGGCAATACAAGGCAAAGGAAGGCAGCAGCTTCCAGCTTGATCCCGTGGGGTGAAAGTTCCATTCTTGACTCTGAATTATCCCACTTTCCAAGCTACAGAGGGCTGTCCATGGGGGTCATCAACAACACTTTAAGGTCTTTGTTCAAGTCCCTGTGGCATGAAGCCCAGGCCTCAGATTCATCTCTCTGCAGACCTTCGTTTCTCTTTACATCTGTGGAAGCTGGAAATTATACTTCTGCGATTACCATTTTCTAAACTTGAATTCATACAGGAACAGGTGCTGGATTCATATAGGAACTGATAAACCCTTAAGCATTAACCTTCTGGTGCATCTATCAAGAGGCTAAGCCCATCTCTTCCAGGCATTTCTTCCAATACCTTCTTCTACAAGCTTTGGACTGGGGACCCAGCTGTTACTCCTAAGGGTTCCCCAGGAATCTGGGCAGACTCTCTGGTGGCTGTGGTAAGCAGGCCATTATATAAGTGAAGCATAACGAGGATCAGCTCAGGCTATGAGAGGTCACCAGGTCTCACTACCTGTCTCCAGATATGTTTTCTCTTGGGTCCTTCAACAATCATGCTAGGAGTCCAATAGTTGGCTGGAGAGAGCCCTGGAGAGTCACTGAGGAGAGAGAGGAGCCAGGTAAGCTGGTTGACCTGCTTAGAGAAGCTGCCCTCCACACGGCACCAGACATGTGAATGCAGTCATTTCAGACTTTCAGACCAAGCAGGCCACCATCTGAATGGCACTTGGAAATCCCAGAACAGCACCACCAAGCCCTGATTGAATTCCTGATCCATGCAATCATGAAGTATCAGAAATGGATTTTGTTCAAAGACACTCTGTTCTGGGCACTCTGCTATACAACAACAGATAAGTGGAACAAAATCTCAAAGAGCACATGCAGCACTCCTGATGGGTGCTGAAGTGATGAGTGACATCTCTCCAAAATGATCGTGTCCGTCACACTGCTGCAGAGAGGATCCACAACTTCTACAGAAAGGGGCCTTCAGCTCCATGTTGTGCAAACGATAGCCCGTGTCCATGGTGACCAGCTGGAGCAACCTCTCCCATTAATTCCCACCATCTCCTTCCCTCCCTGGAGGGAGGGGATGAGCCTTTAAAGGAAAGCTGTCAAGCACTCCACTTGACAAAGTTATCCCTATTTCAAAGGTTCTTGGTAAAAAGGGTCAAAGTCCAGGAAAGTCCCTGAGAGTCCAAAAAGGGGACCAGGGAAGTCACTTGGAAAATAGCGTTCAGTCACTTCTGTGATAACTCAGCTGACATGGTCACACCCTGAGGAGTAGGCTGGGTAAGGCGCACATCCTGGGACCTATTCCTGCAGGTAGAGGGTTCAGTCAGAAGCACTTCTAACTGCAGCTCCCTGTTTTCTACTTGTTAGAGGAAACCAGGAGAACCCCGAGGCCCCCAAAACTTCATGCCAGAAAGACAAACGCAAAGCCCTTGTCTCTACGTCCAGAAAAAGCAGATTTGTGCACCCGAAGAGGAAGAGCCCAGCTGAGTCCAGGCCCTGCTAAGATTACGGGCTGTTAATAAGGAAAGACAGAAGCCAAGAGGTTTGATGTACAACTCGACAAGCAGAGGTTAAGGGGAGAGCCCGGGCAGGCTCATTTGCAAACTTGGTCCTGTTTCATTAAGTGAGAGCAGAGACAGCCTGTCTCAGTCCAGCAGAGAAGGGCCTCATTATCCACGTAGGGAGCAAGAGATAAGAATCTTTTAATAATTGCTGGGAATTTTTTTTTATTATGATGTGGAATGCCAATTTAGACCTCTCCTTGCAGGCTGGATACAAACAGCCGCCTTGGGAGTTAAAGTCGCTCCCCTCTGGCTGTGGTCATTAAGGACAAAGAGGAGAGAGACGGATGTTTGCTCTGGAGAAAGGCTGCAGCTCAGGGCCCCCATGGCCGCAGGAGCCAGATCGATCCCACCAGCCGCTCCTGGAGGGGCTGCTGCTGAGTCCCCCCAACCCCGAGCCTGTCTCCCACCTTCAGCGGGTGCTGGGTCTCCTGAGACATTCAGCGTGTCTTCCACTGTTTAAAAACTTCAGGTTGCAAGGTTTGAAAGAGAAACTTTATGTCATAACACGTCTCCCCGTTTTCCAAAAGCGGAGCGATCCCTGACACCCTGTCCTGAGCCTGAGCCGAACCAGCGAAAAGCGGAGACGCAGTCACCATCCGTTTATATGGAAAGCAGCTGTGAGCATCCCAGACCCCAACTCGCCTACCAAGCCCTAGGGAACGGCGCGCACAAGCCCAGAGAAAACTCACATCTCCTGGGGCCTCCCTGGTGGCGCAGGCCACAGCGCTGTGAAGCTGTCCGCAGCCTCTGCCGCGCCGGTTCGATCCCCGCTGGCCGGTGGGAGGCCCACGAGGCACGGCAGACCTCCCCTGTCTCGCCGCTGCTCCCCTCAGCAGTGTGTTTCGTCAGTCTGCCTGTGCTCCCCGCTCTGTCTCTGGTGAGTCCTCTCACCCCCCACATCTCTGGCCTGTGCCCCGGTTCTTGTATGCCTGAAAAATAAATATTAAAAAAAAAAAAAACAAAAAAAAACCTCACAGCTCCTGAGGGCGGGAGTGGGGCGGCGGGGCCTGCGCTTCCGGGTGGAGCCGAGGCTTGGCGCGCCGGGCGTGGGTGTCATGGCCGCCGCCATGAGCCCCGCGGAGCCCGCGTCCCGGGCAGGGCTGACCTGCGGCTGAGAGAGGCAAGTGATGCTTCCGAAACTCCAAGCAGCAGGTGAGAGTGAGCACAAGGGAAACCGGAGGGTTTTGGGGCGTTTTGCCTGGACGCCCTCGCCTTGCGGAGAGCCGGGTCTTCTCAGCAAGGGCCGAGGTGCTGCGGAGACTCTGGAACTAATCTAGCACACGGCCTCTGGCGTCCTCTAGGGATTGGGTGAGAACTGAAGAGGGAATTAATATTATTTTTTTTTCCTGGATGTGATTTTAGCTCACCCTTTGCAGGACAATCCAAATGTAAGGTCCTCCCCCGGGGCTTCTGAGAGACTGTTGTGTGACTGATGTCAAGCAGTGTGACCTGAGCAGCAGCTCCCCCACAGCTGAGGACAGGGGGATCCAGGCCTAAGAAGACCTGCCAGTCCCCCGTACTCTGGCCCTGGCTGTGTCCAGAGCTCCCCTCTGATTCCACACAGCGGGGCTTTTGGCCCCACACTTCAAAGGATTCCCACAAGGAGCTGGCTCTTTTAGGCTTTGCACCAGTCTCTCTCCCTTCTGGCCCAGAGCCTGCAGGCCCCCCTTCTTTTTTCTCCCTCTCTCCCTACATCGCACCCCTGGGCAGATGCTGAATGGTAGTGGTGGCCATTTTAAGCCTAAGGTGTCAGGAACAAGGTGGTATCTTCACATGAGATGGCCTTGCTGCTTCTGTCTGCATAGCGAGGGTACCATGCCGGGGCCTGGAGGCCCTGGGGTTGTCTGAGCTGAGCTCAAAACCTGCTCCTTGGCCAGATTTCAGAGAGGCTGGAGAAACTGAGGGGTGTTGTCCTTTCCCTGGTGGAATCTATGCTGACAGCGCTGACTTCAGAGGTACCCAGTGCTCAAGCAAACAGCAGCCCCAAGGTGCACGTGTCGCTGCCAGCTGCCTAAGCACCTAGCTCACTGCTCACTTCTGCTCTTCTGATGTTGCCCCAAAGCGATTTTTGTAGTATTATTAATAATTATATTATTGTCTAACAGTCACGATGACCAAGTACAAGGAGCAAGGCAGTGCATTGTTAGCAGCAGGAAGATCCCTGGGTTTGAGCACTTCACGTGCCACTTCTAAGCAGTGACAGTGGGAAAGTTGTTAAGTCTGTAAAACTGAGATAATCATGGTAACTACCTGTGTGGAGATTCAAAGGGACAAACCTTGCAGTGACCCAAACACTTGCATGCAGTAAAACAAGGCAGAAAGAAATGCAGCTGTGCTAAGGACATGTGGGGATTTGAATCTAAATTCTGCTTCCACCCCTTCTAAGTTAGCCCCAGATTCTCCATTTCCTCATTTGGTAAATAGAAATGATTGTACCTTTCAAGGTGATTGAAAGGATTGACATAATAGCTGTGAAAGCATCCTGGGGAGAAAGGGAACAAGTCTCCTTTATACAAGAGAAAGAAGAGGAAGGATTGGCTGGAGAGGCAGGATGAAGGTGCTTGGACTTGACTGTCAGGGTCCCCTGTTTTTGGTCTCCTGCTAACTTCATGAGCCTACTTTGACTCATCTCCAGCATAAATCTGCTCTATCCTGGCTCATTTTCATGTGTGCATGAACCCACTGGCACATAATTTCAAAGCCTGTGAGACTATTTCTTCCATCCTGCATGTGCATCTTTCTTCTTCCATCAGCTGGCATTGCACTCATCCTGGTCACCTTCTCCAGATACCTCCCTGATTGTCTTTGAACCCTATGAGGCCATACAGAGAGAAGAGGTCGGCATCATCACATAAAGTCACTTGCTTGTCTCCCTAAGGTGTTAAATAGAGGAGGCACTGGTGCAGGGAAGATGCCCCAGGTTCATGGTCATTGCAGACCTGAACCACATGCGTTGGTTGCTGGCAGATGGCTTGAGGGTTAACATCCATGTCAGTTTGCTTCTTTTTTGACTTCACCCTAGGAGGTTCTCCAAAGGAGTGTTCTCACATCTGTCCGTGCACACCAGGAATAAAATAGAATGCTGTGATAGAAGGAAACTTAGAAGTTCATAAAACTGAAGATTGAGAAGAAGATAAAAGCAGTTCCCCCTTCCTCAGAGCACCAGCACCATGGAATTCCAAATTACATTTTAGAGACAATATGATGCTGCCCTGATCATGTGTGCCCTCAGACAAGCATGTGACTGTCCACCCTATGGCTGCCCATCCAGACTTCTGGCTTTCTGTGCCTACAGTTTCCTTTCCTCCACCCTCAAGTGCTTTTCCTTCTTCAGATTTCTATCTAAATGACACCTCCTCCAGGAAGGCTCCATGATGACACTATCTAAAATCAAGTAATCTCCCCAAAGTGTGCCTCCTATTGCACTATTTGATAATACTTATTGCAATGAAAAAATATTTTTATATTATTTATTAGGTTATTTTTTGGTATCTTCCTGAATAATCTAAGTTTTATGGTTTTAAGAGTCTTCTCCTCTTTGCCAGAATAACCCAACACCTAAAGCAGGGTCCGGTATATTTGGTGTTAGCAGGGCTTTTTGTGGGAATAGATGACAGTGCAAAGGAGTTCTGAGTGGACTGTGGAATAGGGCTTTACCTTGAAGAACTTCCTGAGGAAAAGCAGTCCGTGAACTCTCATGGTGACAACTTCCTTTGTCCTCACCCAACCACAAATGATTGTCAAGGACAGCACCAAATGAAGGCTCTATAATGAGTGAAGATTCTGTTAGTGTCTGAAAACTGTGCAAGGAAAGAAAGATCCAGCCTGGACAGTGAGGTGTGTTTGGGATTTCTAAACAAAATGCGGAGCTGTGTTGTGTAAGTCCTCCTCATTTTGATTTTACACTTCAGGGCTTTGAACTATCAATAGCCAGAGAAGCGGGTTTGTAAATCCTATTAGAAGCAGACCCTTCGGAGACTCTGCTGCAATTGTTTCTCTTACATAATTCTTCATTTTGTTCAAGTCCAACCTCAGCTAGTCAGACACAGGCCAACAAGTCAGAATCTCCCACAAAGGGCAGAGGTATTTCTACAGTGGCCTAGAGATCCTGGATGGAGTGGGCTTTAAATTCTGACTTGTTACTTGTCAGACCTTGGGCAATACGGTTCGTCTTACTCTCTAAGTAAGCCCCGGTTTGGCATCTACAGAAAAGGAATAAAAACACCTCCCTGGTGGGATTTATGTGAGGAGTAAATGAGTCAGTGATTAAGAATATACTTGCTCTATTATTATAAAATGTGTGGGGATGTCTCCGCTGCAGTTGTGACTCACTCTGTGATACCCTCTACTCACCCATCTGGCCTAAATCTACTGAATGGACACTCTGCCACCAACAATATCTGAGAATCAGCTCAAGGCAATGTCAAACAGCCAGTGCCCTCAAGGAGCAACTACACTGATACCAGAGAATGCCACATGCACAGATAATTGGAAAGCAATTTGGGAAATCTGCAATCAAAGCAGGATATGCACAAGGGATGCACAGAGGAATGAGCCATCTCATTTCCTGGGATAGTTGTAGAAACTGGCTTTTGAGCTGGATGCTGGGATACACGGGCAGGAAGGGAGGGTGTAAGGCATAGGAGTACCTGAGGGCAGAGCACTCCCAGAGAGCTGAGGACCCTGAGGATTGCAGAACTAGGGCCAGATGGCAGCAGGTGCAAGTGAGCCCCCAGGTTGGGGTGCACTTTCTTCTGAGGCCTATAGAGAATCAGAGAAGTCAGGATGGGGGTGGAGCTTGCTCGTGTTTAAGTTGGAAAGAGAGCAAGAATAGTAACAGGTGGAACATTCAAGATGTGTGACACAAACTTTGGAAAGACTGGAGCAGGAATTTTGTATATGCCACAGGGCAAAGGAGAGAGTGGGGGTCGGGGAGAGCATCTCCTGGGATTTGCACATCTGCTTGTCTGTGGGAGGTCTCCTTCTGCTGGTTTGATAGCTATTCTAGAGACAGTAAGAATTCATCTTCACTGAGGTTCAGATCAGACTAAAGAAACACTCCAAACCTGCAGACCATCTTCCCAGAGAAGGTTGCCTTGGAACACACCCCTGCCCACCTTTTCTTTTATGTTGTTGATATGGCTGAGACACCTCCTTTGGGATGGGGGTAGTGAGGCCTCACAACGCAGCAGTTACAAGAGCTGATGTCCCTTAGAAAATGACCTCTTCCTATTCACTTCTCCCTGGAGCTCCAGGTCACCTGTAGGCAGCCCAGTTATCCAGAGGGTGAGGGGAGCATGACCAGGTGACCATGGTCAGAATTTAAGACTCTCCAGAACAAGCCCTGCCTGGTACCCATTAAGGCATCACCAAGACACCTTTTAGTAAGAGCTGGCACCTTCTACCTGCTTCCAGTTCTCAATACCAACTCATGGCTTTTTTTTTCTTATGCTACCTATTTGTACTGTCCCAGATCTGTGGGCCCACCCTTTATCTTATCCCTCAGCACCCTCTTTTTTCAGATTTTTATCATCCCTATCTTTGGATTTCAGTCAAAACCCAGATCCTGATGCCACCTCAGTCTCAGCTTTGATATCATAATAGAAATCCAAAAACCAATATTTAGATACTGGAAATTGGGTGCCATTAAAAGAAATTGCAAAGCCCAGGAAATGGGGGAAGGGAGGGGCACTAAGGAGGGGCTAATTTAAAATTTAAATTATTTGCACACTTTGAGCCAGCTCATATATCTTAGTATTGATCGAAGCTCTTTGGAAGCTATTTACGTTTTCAGCACACCTATAAGGCTGAGATTTATATTGCATTTGGTGTTTAACTAGCCTCTTAATGCATCCTGTTGAGCCATAGTATTGGTGGGTGTATTGTAAATTTCAGCCTTGGCCTGAATTGATTTGCTTAGTGGAGTTGAATTTAGGCCATTAAAATAAATAAATAAAATGAATAAGAGGGACTTCTAGGCCCTCATGTCATATTAAAATCAACCAAAGGCAGAGAGACACAACCTCCAGAACCAGGATGGAGTATCGTGTCCCAGGCATGAGGCATGAAGGATTCCTTTTGGTATGGCTTCACAAAACTAAGCAGCAGCAGTTGGGATGAAGGGAGAGACTATAGTGCAGCACATATATGTGCGGATTTGAAGTGATGAAGACCTGAATTCAAAACCTGACTTTATCCACACACCCATGGCTGGTCTCCTTGTTCCCAGTTTCTGAGTGGCCCTGCTCACTAATTAGATGGAGATCTTGTCTTCTTCTAGAAATATCACCCATTGTAGGCAACCTAGCTGGATTCTGAAATATGTCCAACCCTTGAGTTGGATAAAGGGGATAACTGCTCTCAGCCATAAAGCGTTGATGTTTGGAGGCATCTCTTGCTTTAGCGGCCCCCCAGGACCCCCCAGGGGTCTCAGTTATGACAGCCTCCCTGTGAATCTAATGGTTTCAGTGCATGTCAGGCTACCAGAAACCAAGCTAATTAGAATACAGATCAGATATTTCCCAAAAGTTTCACTCCTGATAAAAGTGTATTTTACCTCCTAGAAATAGGTTTAAAAAAGTTCTGAAATCAGCAATATTAAGCCTGTTACTGTTTTCCTACTACTGTGGAACAGCAGCATTATCCCTTGCAGTTGGTATAGAGATGGTGGTCATTTGATCTGACATTTTATTGAAACTCAGAAGCTCAGCTTCAGCCACTGTCAAGAGCCAGCTTGCCATCAAGGTTTTCTCTGAAAGAGGAGAAGGTGATGGAGGCTCTGGGAGGAGATCTGTGGGTGTGGGAGTGCCAGCAACCCTCCCTCTCTCCTCCAGGACCCAGGCCAGGTCTTTATCACTGTCATTTTGCCTAATTCTCTTCTTTAACCATTTCAGAATTTCCCAAAGACTGCAGAGTCCTCTTTATAAAGCATGTTCATCGCCGTTCAGAATTCATGGCCCTGAAATGAGAAGGAAAGTTGACTTATCTGTCCTTTCAAAGGCCCTCATTCTAACTTTGACTTATCAACACTCAGATCCTGTCAAGAAGTTACATATTCTTGAAAATGTTGGAACCCTGGGAAAACAAAAGATCAAAATGGAACAAATATAAACAGATGTTTGTATTAATACATCTCTTTCATAGTCAATACGCAAAAATCCCTTCTCATTTGTAAACAGTGAGCAAGAGGAAGAAATTAAGAAAATGATCCAATTTACAGTTATACCAGACAAAAGAATTAAATACTTAGGAACAGACTGAACAAGTAAGGTGAAGGACTTTAACAAAGAAAATTTAAGACATTGCTAAAAGAAATAGAAGAAGACAAAGAAATGGAAAGGTATCCCATGCTCATGGATTGGAAGAATCAACATTATCAGAGTGGCCATCCTACCCTTCATTCTTTCAGTACAGAAATATTTGCTGAGCACCCTTTTAACAAGATTACTAGGTCTTTACAAATAGATATAAGTCAAAGTAAAAATTAAATGATATCACAGACCCTTGGAATTCTCTCTGGCTGAAACTTACAAGACTGGGTACAGGAGCTGACATGGAGAGAAGCTGTTTAAAAGGAACCTATAAGTACCAGGTTAAGGAGTTTGGACATTACTCTATAGGACAGCTTATATTAAAGGCCTTTTGAGCAGAAGAGTAAATATGACAATTTCTAGGGCCTCCCCTGGTGGCTCAACGGTTGAATGATGGGTTGCGAGGCTGCCCGCAGCCTCTGCAGCACCAGTTCGATCCCCAGCCACCGGCGAGGGTCCCACAAAAAAAAAAAAGACAATTTCTATATAGAGCAACTTTTCCAACTTTGGGTAGATTGAACCCAGGTGACTTTCAACATGTGGGATTGATTAAGACACAGTGAGAGAGATGAGAGGTGATGGAGTCCTTAAATTATAAGTAAGTTGTAATGCCATTCACAAAGGAGATGACCTAGGAAGCCACTTCCACAAATTTATAATCACTCCATTTACTACACACACACACACACACACACACACCCTACCTCACACTGCAGCAACAGTGCTCATTCATTTCTGAAAAGTAGTTTTCTGTAAGAAAATGCATTACAAAACCAGAGAGTCACCATGACTTTTTTCAACTATTCTTAGACTGGAATGTCTCCTCAGAACTCTGGACATACATGAGGAACTGGAGGGAGAATCTTTAGTGCTGACTCCACAGAGCATCTTGGCTGCCCTCATTTTAGTCCAGTGTGAGCTTTCAGCTTCCTCTTTTCTCCAAGTGAGAAGTAGCCACAACTTTCTTCTGTGAAACTGAACCCTCTTCAGAGCAATGATACTATTTCAGTAAAATGTCTATGCAAGAGCTTACCCAAGTGGCCAAAATCCGTTTACACAAACTCTAGTTTATTTACTGTAACTAGAGAAGAAAAAAACTGAAGCTGGGATAATTGAGCTCTCATTCCTGAACACTTTGGGGAACAGCATACTTGGAGTGGAGAATTTCAAAATGGGACGGCTGGCAGGATGGGGGTAGACTGGCCTTGGCTGAATTCTGAGAAGAGGAAATGGTTCCTTGAGTTGCACCCTGATGCTGACATACACAGCCTGCCACACTCCACCGTGACCCAGTCCAAGACCCGTTGTCCCAGGTCTCACCTGCCATGATGCCCTCACCTAGGGGCAGGGACAATTGAGTCATAATAGTCATTCCCTTAGGGGTTTGTGTATTCCTTATGGGCTGGTCTAGGGGAGAGTAGATGTTTGGAAAGCATCGAACATCTGTGTGCCTGATGCTGTGCTACTTTTTAAAAATAACATTAGGTTCTGGGTTCCATGCCAACTCCCATCTTCCTAAGGGGGATTCAATAAGATTTGTTTCCAGCCTTCTCTCTACACACATTTCCTGCCAGTGCCTCTGATCCTAGCTGCAGCTCATAGTTTCTGAAAAACACTAGCAAAGTTCAGGACAAACTCATATTCTAGCTGTCCTTTGCACATGTTCCACCCTCTTCCCTTCCCTGCAACTTTCAGATAACACTTCACTCTCCTCAAGTTTTTTTTTTTTTTTTAATTCTCAGACACTCTCCATGAAAAGTTATGTCTTTCACACTCTGCTCATCCAGTTTTCATGCATTTATTCATTTATCCATTCAATCAACAAAATGTATTGATGGATTTTATTACATTGCAGACATAGCCGTGGTCCTGGAGTTGTAACAGTGAACAGAAGGACATTTGCGCCCTCGTGGAGATGACATGCTAAAGCGGCAAAGGGAAAGAAGGTACCGTGTGCACTCCAGACTAGGGAGAAAACAAAGGGAAGGGAAATGCAGCTGGAGCCAGTGGGTATTACTCTGTGCGGGGTGGCCATAGACTGAGAAATAGCATTGGAGCAGTGACCTGAAGAAAGTTAGGGAATAGTGTTGCAGCTACAAGTACAAAGGATCTGAAGCAGGATCCTGAGTGGCATGTTCCATGGAAACTCCACTATAATCTCTTATCTGCATCCTGTATATGTATGTGTGTATATTTGTATATGCATATCTGGACATGTGTGTATGTATGTTTTATATGTGCATGTGTATATATATCTGCATATGCATATAAACACACACAGCAGGTCCTTGAATAGTGTCCTTTATTCAGTGTGGCTTTGTTATAACATTAATGAGGGAAAAAATCAGTTTCTGGCCCAGGCACTGTCTGTATGGACTTTGCATGTTCTCCCCATGTTTGTGTGGGTTTTTTCCAGGTTCTCCAGTTTCCTCCCATATCCCAAGACCTGTAAGTTAGGTTCATTGGCATGTAAGCTATCCCAGTGTAAATGAGTGTGTGAGAGTATGTGTGTGTGTGTGTGTGTGTGTGTGTGTGTAAGTGCACCCTGTGGTGGAAAAGACCCTGTCCAAAGTTCATTTCTGAGCTGCTGGGGAGGCTTTAGCCACTGTGACTCTGAATGGAAAAAGAGAGTTGGAAAATGAATCAATAAATGAATGAAGACAATTAATTGTTGAATATTAAAATTGTTTTGGGACTTTCCTTAGAAGTTTGGTGAGGTTTATGTGACCAGAAATAGGCTCTAGGGCTTGACTCTTGTTTATATCAATTAACCTATGTGGAGATTGGTTTCTTTATGTGCTGATTTTTTAAAGTTGCAGTTTCCAAGAACCTCCAGCTGACAGTACGTGAGTGCTTACTGTATAGTACTTGTGATAACTTGTCACTTGCCTTCTCCCTGGAACGTCAGCCCTGGAGGTATGACCTACAGAGTACTCATATCTATCTGTGGCCCATGGACCTAACACTGCTCTAGAATAGAGTTGATGCTTAATAAATACATATTGAAAGAAAGAATAAGTAATTACAAAAATCCTCCTAACAATCATGTGAAAGGATACGTCATTCTGGCCGGGTAAATGAGGAAACAATGTTGAATTATATTCGTGTTGGCACAGCTAATAAATAAGCAGTGTTGTCTACATTCTGACTCAGTTCTGTTAGGCCTAGAGCAAAAATATTTGCACAGTTAACTTATGAAGCCAGAAAAGATCCTCCTGAAAGCCCAGGTCCTTGAGATGGAATTTGTGTGGTGGCCACAGATGTCCCTGAACTGAGCTCCCTGCCCTCCTGTGTGCTGACCTTGACCTTTCTGTCTCCCTTTCACTGTGCCCTTGGGAGTAATCGAGGCTGCATGTGTGACAGGTGCTTTCCTCTGCACCCCTTCTGAGAGTGTGGTGAAAGCAGAGCAGAGCTTGGGTAGAACACAAGTTGGGTGGGTCCATAGCTGGGTGATGGAAGGAAGAGGGGAATGCCAAGGAATGCTGGTGAAAGCTGTAGCAAGTATGGGTGCAAAAATAAAGCAGGGCAAAGGCTGTGGGGAGGGAGATGAGGAGAGTCTCTGGCTCCATGTCTCCCACCAGCAGGGCTGTCACTGGGGCCCAGGTGGGGAAAGAGAAAGAAGGAACAATGGCACCACTCTTGGCCTGGGCAGCTGACCAGGTAGCGAGGGATTCTGGGAGCAGGGGAGGGCGGGCAGCACCTGCTGTGTCCACACTGGGCAGGTGAAAGTCACCAGCAGCCCCAAGGTGTATGCAGTATGGTGGGAGGCCCAGGCTCCTGGCTCTGGGCTACCCAGGGCCTGGATGTTTGCCTTGGCAACCCTAGAACATTCACGTTGGCTTCAGCATGATTCCCCAAAGGCCAGGCAGCCGGGCCAGCACACCTGAAAGTCATTAGCTTGGGGTCCCATTTTGTTCTCACATTTCCAAGCAGCGACCTGCAGCCATGTGTGACAGGCAGGCACTTGGTCAACTTGCTTGCTCCAGCCCACCCCGCCCTTGGCCTTCTTCTCTCTAGCAGCCCCTGCCCAAGACTCACTGATCCCTCCAAACCCAGGGCTAACAAGGCCTCCTTTCTTTCTTTGTTACAAATATTTATAAGATCTGACTATTATTTTCACAACCTATTTAAGTCAGTCTTCATCATCTTTCCCTTAATGAGGACTCTAAGGATCAGGGTGGTTAAGGGACTTGCCCAGAATATCACAGCTAATAAGTTGCAGCATCTAGGTAGGAATGGGGACCTTTTTTTTTGATACCAACAGGCTGCTCAGTGTGGGCCTTACACAACCAGCCACGTCAAGGGGTCCAGCTTCCTGCCTTTGACCATTGTTGATCCAACTTTTCACCTATTGTTATCCCAGTGCTCAATTTGTCTCACCATCAGTTACCTTACAACCAATTCTCTTTTCAGGATGTTTGCAGCCACCTGAGGGCCTTGTTAAATTTACCCTCTTTTGAAAATATTTTTTCTAGAATATTGTACAAAAATGAGCAATGAAGTAAGAAATCTCATTAGAAAAGAAATAAAGATAAGCACAAACAAAAACATTTTTAAAAGTAAAAACAAATTCTTCTGGAAATACATTTTTCTAGCTTATGTTTGCATTTCTTTCAAGCAATACTTATCAATCAGGGACATTTTGTCCACTGGGGGAATTTGGTGATGTCTAGAGAGGTGCTTGGTTCTGCCACCTACTGGGGCAGGCCTGTAGTTCCCAGAAACCAGAAGGTATCTTCTTTGATTTAAAAAAAACAAAAAAACAAAAACCAAGAAGGACTCTTCATCATCACTGACTCTCCCACTGACTCATAGACACTGAAGTTCAAAATATCCTCTCAGAAAGGAGATCTTTGTTAGTGTTTCAGCCTGCCCAGTGTTGGGCAATCAATCAAAAAATGCAGGCTGTCCAGTTAAATTTGAATTTCAGATGAAAATTATATATGTGTGTGTGTATTGTACATATCATGCATACAACTATATCTACTGACATTTATTTACTACATGTACATATATACTATCATAGACATTTACACTATGTAACCTGTGTAGAGATAGCATGTGTCCATAGTCTATATACACACGTGTGTATAGCCTATGTATATAGTGTGTATACATGTATGTGCATGTATGCACTTACATGGTAGTGCATAATATATAACATATCATATACTATAAATATATGTGTCTATATGTATGAAGTTCAAGTTTAACTGGATATTCTATATTCATCTGGCAACCCTGACAGGAGCTGTGGCCAGACTCTAGAGTTGCCTGGTTACGGTCAGAGTCATGCCATGCAGAGTGCTGAGGAGGCAAGGCCGGCCACCAGGGTCAGGAAGCAGTTCCAGGAAGTGGTCAGTCAACAGTGCTGGGCACAGACAGTCCCTCCCTTCTGCTCCAGAGAGTCACAATATTTGAGAATCAGAAAGCCCCATTCCTGGCATTCACCTAAAATTCTTCCCTTTTTTTCCCTTTATTTGAAGTTCCCTCTGCATCCAGTGATTTTCCTCTCCTTGCTTCTTCTGTGCACAATAAGTTGTTCTAAAGTCTGGCTGACTCGCAGACTTTAGGAAGGCTTAAAAACACAGATTTCCCCCACCTCACCTAACAAGAAGGCCTGGGAGTGAATCTGGCTGTTTAAAATATCTTTGGGAGATGCTGATAATTGGACATCAGGGGGAAGCACCTGTTTTAGTCTAAATCTCTCCATTCTAGTAAATGTTCTACTACACTGTCAGCCAATCTTGGAATTCATTTTCGTAGAGACAATGACCAAAACTAGAATGAGATTTGGCCCGCCCGTGGACTGAGGAAGATATTGGAAAGTAGAGTGCAGGCTGTGGGCGCAAGGTTCAACTGTCTGGTATATAAAGTGTATGCTCAGCTGCAGCTATGGTGGAAGCCTGCACCCCAAGGTGCTGGGGGAAGGGGTAGTACGAGGAGTTGCTCTAAGAGGAGATTGGGGCCTCCAGGAATCTGTATCGCAATTCTAAACGCCACAGAAAAAAAAGCTGCTGGCAGAAATATGTAACAGAAAACTGTTACATATACTTCCAATAGTCTCTGTTTCTCTGCCATCATGTCTATTTCCCCTTTTTAACTCAGCTCACCTAGAAGCAAGAAATCAAAGGAAACTGAACAACGCATTCCTTGGTCTCTGGATATCTAGGACAGCAAAGGGTATATGGTTGATCAGGAATGAGAGTGATGGCAAATAGGATAACTCAACACAAAGGGTCAGATGTTGATACTATCAAGAGATAGTTGGTTTAGAATCTTGAACTGTAGGTCATTGACCTATTTCCCTGAATACCTTCCTTTTGGAGACTTAGGACAAACCTTTGGGTAGAGTCTACAAGAAAAGCACTTACTCAAGAGAGGAGCTTCAAAATGGTGCCCTGGAGTCAGCTTGTACCAGGTGATGAGAGCTGATTGTTAAACTTACAGGAATTTTGTGGGCCAGTGGTTCACCACCAACATTACTAAAGTTGAAATGAATGAACTCACACATAAATTGCATTAAAAGCAAGGTTACTAAGTAAATATTTAAAATGCATTGCTTTCTAATTGTTTGCTACATTTTACTCTTATCTGTGAGAGAATTTATATCTATTGAAATCAGGTGATAGAAACACTATATTGGGCTGCTGCAGGTCTATTGCCAACACCCACATTCAGTGATTTCACATTGACAGTTTAAAGTTGGTACTAGTGGGTGTATTTACACCATGGGGTTTTGCATGTGCTACAAATCAAGGTTGGTTGGCTGGTTTTGTCTAAGAGAGCAGGCTGTAGCATCGTTACCAGAACAGCACTGAAGTCTCCCCTCCCCATAGCCTCTCCAGCAAACTTTGAACAATCAAGAAGAAAACTTAATGGCCACAGACCCTCAAAGGCCTTTAACTCTTTGCTGAGCAAAATCATTTAAGGGAGAGCAGGCATT